TTAATTCCTCCATCTACTTTATATTCGCTTTCTCTACTTTATGGAAAAGAAAACGGGACTCAAGAGTGTCTCAAAGAATGTAATGAACTTGCCTATGGTAACACAACTCTTAAGTAGTGGAATCAGGCTTGCTGTAACTTGGAGACCTAAGTTTAAGAGATTTCTACAGTTCATAAAAGTTGTACAAAGAATTGTACCTACACTTGGAATAAGACGCTGTTCTGAATTTGTGTCTTAGTTTTTTTTCATATTGACATTAATAGAGGCTTCTATTGGGCTTAGGCTAAAAATCTTTTGTAAAAATTTTCAATGACACTGCTGATTTTTCTCTGTTAATTATGTTTATAAGCTAATAAAAACTTTAGCTTGATATTACGTTCTAGTGGTTAAATTTGTCATAGAAGGAATATGTGCTGAGTTACTTGTGTATTGTAATCTTGAAATTACAATTTTTTATTTGAAAATTAGACAAAGTGTGTTTTTAATTTTTATATCATTTTAATAATAGAGTTCAGATTTAATGGTAAGGCTAAATCTGAATTCCATTTTTCTCTTAAAATATTGTTTTTCTATTTTAAGGCATTCCTTGGAGGTCTAAATTGGGCATTTATAGGTGTTGATGAAGCACACCGATTAAAGAATGATGACTCCCTTCTCTATAAAACTTTAATAGATTTTAAATCCAATCATCGTCTCCTTATCACTGGAACTCCTCTACAGAATTCCCTCAAAGAGCTGTGGTCTTTGCTACATTTCATTATGCCAGAAAAGTAAGACAAATTTACAATTTTAATCATAGTTTTGTGTGGTTATGTTTAGTGGGAAGAAACCCAGATAATAAGGTCAGTAAGAGTTTGTATTGCCCTAAAAGATTAGATCACAGATCACTAAGAATTTTTAAAAAAGGAAAATGAGGTCAGGTAGTTTGTAATACCATTTCAATTTTTCAATTTTGTTAGTAAACTTAGGCCATGTGTTATAAATCACAACAGTTGATTTTGCATATGTTCAAAATATACCTTGCTCAAAAAACTAACATAGTAACATTCTTTGTGTTTAATAGTAGGAGTAACAACAATGAGGTGCTGGCAATCCTTTTTTCTAAATGAGGAAAACTAGACTAGACTAGGCTAAATAAGTTCCCTAAGGTCACTACTTGTGCTTTTTCAGTAGGTCCAGAACTTTAAAAGTATTTTTTTTGAGAAATATTTTAGTGATAATTACTCCCATACCTCAAAATACTTCATATTCACTTGATTCAAGAATCATAACTTATAAAACAACTAATTATATTTCATCATGCATCTTCTTGGGAGGGAAATTTTTAGAAGTAACTAAGTTTTTTTTGTTTTGTTTTTTTTTTTGAGATGGAGTCTCGCTCTGTTGCCCAGGCTGGAGTGCGGTGGCGCGATCTTGGCTCACTGCAAGCTTGCGAGCTCTGCCTCCTGGGTTCACGCCATTCTCCTGCCTCAGTCTCCAGAGTAGCTGGGACTGAAGACGCCCGCCACCACACCTGGCTGATTTTTTTGTATTTTTAGTAGAGACGGGGTTTCACCGTGTTAGCCAGGATGATCTCGATCTCCTGACCTCGTGATCCGCCCATCTCGGCCTCCCAGAGTGCTGGGATTACAGGCGTGAGCCACCGTGCCCGGCCAGTAACTAAGTTTTTAGCTAATTTTTTATTCTAAAAATCTGTAGTATTTTGTTTATAAATCACTCCCATAAAAAAAAAAAAAAAAAAACTCATAGGCAGTTTGACTTTTTCTAGTGATTGTTCCAATTTCTTAAATTTTAAAGGTTTTCTTCCTGGGAAGATTTTGAAGAAGAACATGGCAAAGGGAGAGAATATGGTTATGCAAGCCTTCACAAGGAGCTTGAGCCGTTTCTGTTACGCCGAGTTAAGAAAGATGTGGAAAAATCTCTTCCTGCCAAGGTTGAGCAGATTTTAAGAATGGAAATGAGTGCTTTACAGAAACAATATTACAAGTAAGCTGTACACAGAGCACATGTTCTGAACTTCTAATTCTGAATAACTTCCATGTCTGTGTCCTGCTCTTGGTGCCCCCACCTTCTCTACAATAGTGTCATAGAGCAGTTGCAATTCTTGAGTTTTAGAATAAGTTTATTCTGTGTCATTAGGAGGCAAAAGGAGATTTAATGACATGTCCAAAATGAATAACAAGACTAATGTATCTTCTAACACATTATTAATTGCTTTCCTGTATATCATACTGTTACATTATAAAAAGTTTAAGTGTTAGGATTTCCACGATATGAAGGTATTATTTGATTATGACAGTTAACAGATAGAGGCCAAAAAAGAAACTTAGAACAAAATTTTAGGCCCTGCTGCTTTTTGAAGAGTATTAACAGATCATAGCTGGTATAAATTTTGTATGTCAAGATCTATACAGTAGGACTTTTCAAAGAGTCAGAAAGGAAAATCTGTTCTAATATCTATTTAAACATTTAATTGCATAAAAGGAAATACATTGCTACATGCATTTGGAGTTTCCGAAACATTTATATTTTATGGTAAATCTATAGGTGCCACACATTTGAAAGAATATACTTACTGCATAATTATTTTTGTTATGGAAAATTTCAGACATGTACAAAAATAGGATAATTTAATGAACTCTTATACCCATGACTCAGCTTTACTTTTTTTGTTTGTTTGTTTGTTTTTTTGAGATGGAGTCTCCCTCTGTACTCCAGGCTGGAGTACAGTGGCACGATCTTGGCTCACTGCAACCTCCGCCTTCCGGTTTCAAATGATTCTGGTGCCTCAGCCTCCCGAGCGGCTGGGTTTACAGGTGTGCCCCACAATGCCCTGCTAATTTTTTTATTTTTAGTAGAGACAGGGTTTTGTCATGTTGGCCAGGCTGGTCCTGAACTCCTGACCTCAAGCGATCCACCCACCTCAGCCTTCCAAAGTGCTGGGATTATAGGTGTGAGCTTCTGTGCCCAGCCCCAGCTTCACTTTCCTCTCAAGCCAGTCTTTTTATGTATCTCTGATCATCCCCATTTCCCTCAGTAACTATCCTTTTGAAGCAGATCAGACATTTTTCCATAAATATTTTTCTATGTATTTCTAATAATTGACTTTTAAAAATACTAGTATCACCTGGGCATGGTGGCTCATGCCTGTAATCCCAGCACTTTGGAGAGGCTGAGGGGGGACAGATCACTTGAGCCTCAAGAGTTTGAGACCAGCCAGGGCAACATGGCAAAACCCTGTCTCTACCCAAGATACAAAAAAATTAGCCAGGAGTGGTGGTGGGTGCATGTGGTCCCAGCTACTTGGGAGGCTGAGGTGGGAGGATCGCTTGAAGCCCATGAGGCAGAGGTTGCAGTGAACCGAGGTCATGCCACTGCACTCCAGCCTGGGTGACAGTGAGACCCCATCATAAATAACCCACTTTAAAATTTTCACAATTTAGGAAATTATTGCTCTCTCAACAGAATCAAGTAATTTCTTGATGCCAGTATTCAGTGTCTGTTCAGATTTTCTCTGTCTCAAAAAATTTTTTTACGTTTACTCAAATCAGGATTGAGTTAGGTTCATATATGGCAATTGATTTGTCTCTGAGTTTATCCATAGGTATTTCTTTTTTGTTAAAATATATACGATGAGGAAAACAGTTGTTCTGTAGAATTTTTCTACAATCTAGATTTTGCATAGTACTTCCCTCTAAAATAGTTTAACAGTATCCCCTGTATTCCCTATAGATTGGTAGTTAGATCTAGGTGCTTGATAATATTCAAATTAATAATTATGATAAGAGTATATTTTGTAGTACACAATGGCGATTATCTGATTTTGTTATCGGGTTCTTTTAAAAAAAGTAATGCATTTTGTAGAATATCTGGGAAGAAAAGTCAAAGTAGGAAGAAGATACATTCACCTGTAATTCTCTCAGTGCTAGTCATATATCATGAATATTGAACTTAAACTCTTCAGGGTACTTTTTGGCAACTAAGGTAATAAGATACTGCCATAAATTTCTGGAAAAATTCTTAGAATTATTACCTCTAGAGAAATTAATAATAAACTTTTTCTGGATAAGGAAAAATAATTCTTTATTCTTGATTACCTCTTACGGCATTGAGCATTGTCCATGGGTTTTGTTTTGCTTTTCATTCCAGTTTTGGGGAACTGCCTGTATAACTAGTGGTAAAGAATGGTAATAAAAGAGTATGTACACTAGATATTTGAGACTTTGAAGTCCCTTCAAAAACTGACCTTGTTAAAAGGAGGAAAATAAAAGGTGGAAAAGGTCGTGGTGAGAGGAAATTTTTCTTTTCTTTTTAAAATTCGGCTTTCATGGCCGGGCGCGGTGGCTCAAGCCTGTAATCCCAGCACTTTGGGAGGCCGAGACGGGTGGATCACGAGGTCAGGAGATCGAGACCATCCTGGCTAACACAGTGAAACCCCGCCTCTACTAAAAAATACAAAAAAAAAACCAGCCGGGCAAGGTGGCGGGCGCCTGTAGTCCCAGCTACTCGGGAGGCTGAGGCAGGAGAATGGCGTAAACCCGGGGGGCGGAGCTTGCAGTGAGCTGAGATCCGGCCACTGCACTCCAGCCTGGGCGACAGAGCGAGACTCCGTCTCAAAAAAAAATAATAAAATAAAAAATAAATAAATAAAATAAAATTCAGCTTTTATTTTAGATGCTGGAGGTGTATGTGCAGGTTTGTTACATGGGTAATATTGCGTCCAGGTAGTGAGCATGGTATGCAGTAGGTAGTTTTCAACCCATGTTCGCCTCATTCCCCCCTCTAGTAGTCCACAGTGTTACATGTTTATGTCCATGTGTGCGCAGTGTGTAACTTGCACTTATAAGTGAGAACATGCGATGTTTGGTTTTCTGTTTCTGTGTTAATTCACTTAGAATTATGGTCTACAACTATATCCATGGACATTATTTTATTTGAAGGACATCATTTCATCCTTTTTTTTCTGTGGCTGTGTAGTATTCATGATATATATATATACAAAAAATATGGAGGGTTTGTGGATTTGCATGTCATCCTTGTACAGGGACCATGCTAATCTCTGTATCGGTCCAGTTTTAGTATAAGTGCTGCCGAAGTGAGCACAGGAATTGTTACATATAGTTAGGAGCAGTAAAATAGCACCAAGGTGTTTTCTGTAAGTTGCATATGTATTGTGTAATTGCAATCTAGAGAAGACAGTTGTGGCTAAAACCAGGTATCCTCAGGTTTCTTTTAGGTCCATGTAGAAGATTCAATTTCATTAGATGTCTAATGCAGTGAAAGTTGTAAGAAGATTAAGATAAGTAATGCAGGCGACCATCTTTTTAGCAAATTTGAGGGGAAAAGGATTAATACTCTGTAATAATTATGTTACATTAGCCTGTTCTGTGTGTAGCTAATGGTTCGGAAAACAAGTTGTGTTCTCGTGAGTATTATGAAAGAGGCTTGGTCCATCATATATCCAGTTGTGAATTTCATAATGGTACAGTTTTACTTTGGTACTACCTTTTGCCTTTTTTTTTTTCTTTTAAGCTTTTAGAATTTATCCTGATAATTGTTCTGCTAAATGTCATTTTCATAATTTTTTTTTTTTTAAGATGGATTTTAACTAGGAATTACAAAGCCCTCAGCAAAGGTTCCAAGGGCAGTACCTCAGGCTTTTTGAACATTATGATGGAACTAAAGAAATGTTGTAACCATTGCTACCTCATTAAACCACCAGATAATAATGAATTCTATAATAAACAGGAGGCCTTACAAGTAAGAATTTTTAAATGTTGTTACTTTATGATAAAGTTCTAGAAATGTTGATTTCACTTACAATCGAAAATAGCTCAGTGCTTTAATATATTGGTTCAAAGTTCTCTTTAGTTAATGGTGCCTTTATATAATGGTCTCAGTTATTAATCTTTGTAGAAAAGATTTTAAAATTCTAATTTATCTAATTATTTTGATGAATTTTCTAAAAATATGTCTCTCAAACCATGGACTATAATGACTTATCCGCAAAAAAATCCCACAGTATGTTCATAATTATGAAAAAAATCATTAATAGTAATTGTGCTGCATTAGTGATTTGGTAAGATGGTAGTCTAAAGGACATCTTGACCTCACATCTTAATTAACCCTTCCTGGTACTTCTGGAAGATAAGTTAGAAGTGTGAAGGCACAACTGCAGTCCAGCCACTGTAGTGCCTTGAAGGGCTGGGATCAGCATCTAGAATTAATACATTAGAATGCATTTGCTTACTCCTTTTAAACCTTTGGTTGCTTAGTTGCTGCTGCTTCCAGTGTAATTGTTCTTCAGCTAAGATTTTTGGAGAAACACTGTGGTGTAGTAACTAGCAAACAGAGTGAACAGTACTTTTTTCCTCCCTGACAATACAACAAAAACCTAGGTGTGATATGGCAAGGAATATTTTAGCTTAAGTCGTAGTGAAATGGTAAAGGTCTTAGAAAATTTTGAAAAGTGAAACAAGTTGTTTTCTAACATGAAAATTAAAAATCTCAATTTAAAAGAATTCAAGCAACTAAAGTGTTATGTGGACAACTTATTTACGTCTTTTAACATATAACGACTTGAATTTATTGTTTCTGTAGCACTTAATTCGTAGTAGCGGAAAATTGATTCTTCTTGACAAGCTCTTAATTCGCCTAAGAGAACGAGGCAATCGAGTTCTTATTTTTTCGCAAATGGTGCGGATGTTAGATATACTTGCAGAATATTTGAAATATCGTCAATTCCCCTTTCAAGTAAGCATTTAATTGTATTTGTTGTTTTAAATTTTATCTAATTCCTGTGCATATTTTACAGTATTACCTTTGAAATTATTTTATAAGTGTTTAGGTTTTTATATAAACTGCACTTTCTTTAAAAAGATATATCTGCTTTAAAAAATGTTTGTCATTCCGTTTTTTCTTCTTGACTTTACATATTGCAACAAAACAATTTTTCTTCCTTTCCTCTAATTTTTATTTTCTTTTAATTCTGCCTTTTTCTTCTGTGCTTGCTTTAGATTTTAAAAATTGAACTAAGAGTTTTCTTGATTGGATAGATCTAAAAGCAGGGGAGCCTTTAGTCTTTAATCTGAATGAGGAAAACAGCCAGCAGCCTCTGAATGTGAATGCTGCCAAGATTCTGATGATTGGTGTGCTCATAGTTATCTGACACAGTGTTCGCTGAGTAAAACTGGACAACTTTAGAGAAGAAACTAAAGACCAAAATTCCCTTCCATCTATTCAAAATTTATGTTGAAGTTCATTCAGTATAACTAAAGCTAATATTATTGATGAGTGTTTAAAGTCAGGTGCTATTTTCAGTACTTTATATCTAATTATTTAATCTTTGAAGCAATTTTATGAACAGTGCTAGGAACATAGCAGACATTATGTAGATACAGCTAGCAAATGGTGTATATTTAGTGTGGATAGTAAAATAGCAGTAAAATTATAATAATGGGACTCAACACACATTCCCTGCTTGGTCAGAGCTCATAATCTTTTACAGGAGACAAACATCAAGCAGGTGATTGCAAATAAATGTAACATTACAATTCTGGTAAGTGTTGTGAAGAAGGACAGGTATTTGGTGATATGAATATCATTGAGAAATAATTACAATAATTTAGGGGAAAACGTAGAAGAGTACCATTAGTTGAGGGTTTTGAAAACACTTTTACTGATATGTAATTCCCATATCATACAATTTACTCATTTAAAGTATACAATTCAGTGGTTTTTACTATGTTCACAGATATGTGTAATTGTCAGACAGGTGGTTTTAGAACATTTTCATCGGAAAGCAACTTGTACTCTTTAGCTATTCCTCCTGTCCTTCCATTTGCTTTCTTCTCCTGCCTTGTGTTGATTTGTTTTTAAACAAATTATTGTGTACCTGGTCAAACAAAAAATTAGTTTGACTAATTTTGAGTGTTTATAAGCACCACTTCTCTGCCGCTAATGCCTTCTTGTTCCTAGGTCGCTTCCTGGAGAGAATCATTTTTAATTTTATTTGGTTTAGGTCATGCAACAGTAATAAGATGCCACTAGTCTTAATATTTGTACTAGTTTGTATTTTAGTGGAAAAGAAACATTATTTTTTTTAAAACCTTAATAGACATCTGTTTTCCTACTTTGTGTAGGTGATAATTAAGAGCATTTCACTTAAACCACTTAGAATACATCGTTTAAAATGTATATATTTTTCTTCTCAGAGTTAAAATTCATACAGTAACAAAGCAAAGGTAGGCATATGGCTTCCCAAAATACTAGTTTAATACATCGGTTAAATGCATGGATCACAGTAGACAAGTTATTTCTAGTCTATAACCAGGTAATAATTACAAAATCATTGCCATTTAGAAAGTGAAATAGTAGCTAATGTTTAATAAGCATTCAGTATGTGTAGGCACTGTGCTACGTGTTTTCCTATGTTCTCTCACTGAGTTCTCTATAGTCTACGAAAGAGGGACTACTATTACGTCTGTTTTACTTAAAGCAGAACTGACATGGAGAAAAAGTTTGTGTAGAAAAGTCAAATCACTTGCTCAAGATACCCAGTGAATAAAATACGCATTTGCAGGATGTTGACTAGAGCCCATGATGCTTCACATCAATAATTTTCAAACTTTAGTGTGCATCAGAATTAATTGGATGGCCTTTGCTAAACCCCTTCAGTAGGTCTGGGGTAGGGCTGAATAATTTGCCTATCTATGTTCTCAAGTGACACTAATGCTGTTCTAGTAACCACACTGTACTTAATTGTAACCTGATAATGGATCTGTGAATCAGTTTAATGGGTTACACCAACATTTTGAAAGTAAAATGATAAAACATGAGAGTATAACACAGTATGTCATGGCATGATATGAAACTTGTTTCAGGTGTTTGTAAACAGCTGTGTACTCAATCACATACCTTTAGAATGGGACTGAGGCAGAATAGTATGACAGCCTATGCTGTATTTACTCTTGAGGGTGCAGTCTTAGTGATTTGGAGCACAGACCAAAGACGGAATGCCTGAGCATTATTTTACCGTCTAGAAGGTACCTTCTATTATAGTTTTAGCAAGACATGCTTCATATTTCTACTTAATTTTATAATTGCTTTGTAACATTTCGATTCTGTTATATGCAGTATTTTAATGTGTTTTATTCTAGAGATTAGATGGATCAATAAAAGGAGAACTGAGGAAACAAGCTCTGGATCATTTTAATGCTGAGGGATCAGAGGTATGTATTAATGCTTTTTAAATTATAAATTTGATTTAGTATCAGTATATTACATTATTATATTCAGACATTTTTAATCTTCATATCTAGTTTGATAAAAAAGGAGTAGTGTTAGCCACCTTTGATCAGCAAACGAGGTTTTAAAATCACTATTCTAGTTTAAACCTAAGAATTGCACTCTTTGAGACAGAGTCTAGCTCTGTTGCTCAGGCTAGAGTGCAGTGGCATGATCTCAGCTCACTGCAACCTCTGCATCTTGGGTTCAAGCTATTCTCCTGCTTCAGCCTCACAAGTTGCTGGGATTACAGGTGCATGCCACCGTGCCTGGCTAGTTTTTGTAGTTTTAGTAGGGATGGGGCTTCACCATGTTGGCTAGGCTGGTCTTGAACTCCTGGCCTCAGGTGATTCACCTGCCTCGGCCTCCCAAAGTGCTAGGATTGCAGGTGTGAGCCACCATGCCCAGCCAAGAATTTTACCGTTTATTATCAATACTGTTTCAGCATGGAACAGTTACTTTAATTTGCTTCAAAATAAATTAGGCAGATTGGGCACGGTAGCTCACACCTGTAATCCCAGCACTTTGGGAGGCCAATGCAGGAGAATCGCTTCAGGCCAGGAGTTTGAGACCACCCTGGGAAACAGTGAGACTGCTGTCTGTACAAAAAAAAGAAAAAAAAGTAAAAAAATAAACTGGGCATGGTGGCACTCCCTTATAGTCCCAGTTACTTGGGAGGCTGAGTTAAGTGGATCAGTTAGCTCAGGAGTTTGAGGCTGTGGTGAGCTATGCTCATGCCACTAGACTCTAGCTCAGGCAATAGAGGTGAGACTCTGTCTCAAAAAAAGTAAAGACAAGACCCCAAAACAGCAAATTAT